TTTATATACTCAACTTCTTCTCCACTGTACTCCACATGCCTGCCCACAGTCATGGCATGCAAAATGCTTCTCATGTTCCCTATGCGAAGGAGCGCTACGCAACGACTACTTTGAGAAGAATGGTGGGATCTACTGCACCAACTGTTACAAGCGGAGCTTTCTCTCATGCTGTAAGCAATGTGGCGAAGCCATTGCCGACCAGGTATCTATTGTGTGACAACGCATATGTACCATATGTACAGATGAACTACACGCAGGGTCGTGTGCAGTGCGTGGCCGTTGGTGTACTTCGTGTACATGTTTATTCAACCGGGTGACTTGTGAGTTGTTGTCGGGTAGTTCTCTACCGCTCGGGCTGTGGTGCGCAAAGCTACCTACCACGCTGCAACAACGGTGACAAACGCTTTCCCAACCAGTTGCAGTTCTTTGATTATAGGTATCTGTTTGGCTATGCATATGGCGAGTGAATATACATACGTCCATCGATATATACATATGATGAAAATTTATTTATGCGTATTTGCTTAGCGTATACCCCGCAAGTGGTACATATATACGTTAAGCGTCTGTATGCGTTCCTGTGTGTGGCTTGTACAGCCATGCGTCCCTACTTGCCATGCTGCAACTGCCATGGGTTACAGGAATTGTTGACCAAAGGCGGCTGTAGGAATACGTATGCCACACGGGTAATACACATGTATGTGTATGTAGTGTACATACTCTCTTGTACGTTTATGTGCATGTACGTGTGTATGTTTGTATGCGTGTGTACTCAATTCGTCGGTTGCACCGATGCCTACGGTCGGGTAGGTGTCTGATATGGTATACGCCCTGTGGCGAAGCGAGTTGCCACGCGCAGACACCCAGATAAACACATGCACGCACACACAAGCATATACAGGCACAGACACACACACATACACAAAGACACACGTATATGTAATATATATATATATATACATATATATATATATATATATATATACATATATATATATATATAAATATTGTTGTACTACAGGTTAATATCCCACTCTTCTCGCAGGTGATGAGTGCCGTTGACTTTGTCTACCACCCGCAATGTTTCCGATGTAAGGCTTGTTCACAGGTAATATGTCTGTTCCGCGCCAGAAAGCTTTTCCGACTGTGTTGATTGGCTGGCAGTGTTCTGTGTGCTGTTGTGAATAATAGATGTGAACCACATAGGATGGGTCCAAAACTGTCCAAAACTGTCCAAAACAGTCGAAAATAGTGGACGCATAGGGTGGTTAGTCGCTATTAGCATCCGAAGGGCTGTCCCGTTTATTCCGTTTATTCTGGTGTTTTCAGGTGCGCATTTGCGTAGAGCTCAGTCAGACGTGCCACATCACTAACCACTGTATCATATATGTAGTGTACGCTTATTGTTAACGGTTTTCCGGTTTTCTCATGTACCGCTGGTGCTCGCAAACGTACGTCAACCGTGTACTTACATTATAACTAGTGTGTATACAGGTGAGCTATGTTGGCCAATCAGGACATATATATATGTATGGGCCCATAGCTATATCATATAATTCCACAACAACCACTTGAACGTCACTCACATGTGTAGCAGGCGGTTAGTTGTCAAAACCTAATATATGCTCAGATAATCTTTATGTAGAGTTCATACCACAAATACATGTACACGTATATACGTATCCACATATACATGCAAACTTATATATCATTAGATATACATTCACATACATACTACTTATATACCAATAGATATACATACATACTTATATACGATTAGACATAATATATATATATATATATATAAATACGCATATAGTTGACATTGTAAATACAGATGCTTTATTTCAATTGCCGATACCATATTGGTTGTTCAGTTAAGGTATTTAAAGCCCAATGGATTTGCACCCCATATGTATTTGTATATATGAATACATCCTGAGATGCTCAAGCTTGTACCCTAGATATTGATAATTGTTCCGAATTGTTTGCTTATGGTATTTGGGCTTGTAATAGGTTATAAATCCACCTGTGCCCTGGCTCACGATGCATAGGCAATGTATCTCTCTCTATCTCTCTCCCATGTATGTATAAAGTATATACAAACTTATGCACATGTCTGTTTATCGGTCAATTCGATATAAAACATACAGGTGATCTATCCGGGATGTCCCTACGCTCTGTCTGGAGGAGAATTGTACTGTGCAGTGCACCACCGCAACAAGTATGCATCTCCCGCAAGCAGACGTAAGCTAAACTCACAGTCACTGTCTCGCAGCAGTCTAAGTCAGCCACCAATCCGCAAGCAGTAAGTTCTGTACATCGTGCAACATATGGATATAAATGTAGATGTATGATTTGTATATATATGTATACATATGTATACACACACACAC